AAGAATTCGAAATGGAGAATGTTTTGCCATTCCTAAAAGGTGAGAAACGACTTAATAAATTAATATTTTAATCAACTAAATTAATTCTCTATTATTATATCCGACCGCGATCTGCAGCTTCGCAGATAACTTTTAGAAGCCTTAAATTTCTTAGAGGTGCTGACCTAAAGGAAGCCATTCCGCCGCTGGGTCTACGTGTTGAGTTTAGAGAGAAATTATTCATGTGGAAGAAGAAAGAGGTATGTATATGTTATAAAACAAACTGCTTTAGGTCTCATAGTTTATTTTGCACATACATAGTTCGGAATAGATGATGAAACCATGTCAATGCCAAGCAAAGTAACTGAATGGTTACAAAAAAACAACTTTATGCCATCAAGTCAGTCATCTTCTTCGCCCCACTGTCTCAGTAAAGTAATTTCAATTAATTTTATTTTAAACTAAATTACATTATAATTATGTAAATATTACTTGAACAAGGATTTACCGAGTTTACTTCAACAAACGTGCAAGGGGAAACTAATCTTGGAATCCTACAAAAAGAACCAACATTTGACTAACGGGAACCGGGACGACCTCATAAGCATTGTCATTGACGAAGTTATTGCAAATGACATTATACTAAGAGGGAATGATTTTGTGAATTTGCTAGAGCAGATAATAAATCTCTTTCCAAACGAAAAGGGTGCCCGGGTAATCTATTTATTATGAAATTGTTAAAATATAGATACATTTTATTGTACTGCTTATTTTCCCCCCAAGGAATACTATTATATTCCGCGCAAAGGTAAAAAATGCCCTAGTGGAAAGCTGTACGGGAAATACGTCAATCAACGCAGTAAGAAAAGGAAGACAATATACCTTGAACAAAACACACCATCACCTGCTAGTACTAAGACTAATCCTTCCACGAAAAATTACGAAGTTCCTCAAATTGATTTTACGATATGTAGAGCATTAAAAGCATCTCTCAGCAGAAGCATTGCCGATTGGAATGAAGTCAGAGATAAATGGCAAAAGACATTTAATTTGCGACAGAATGACTTAAAGGAACTGACCAACATTGATTTTCTCCAAGCCTGGCCCAAATATTCTGATTCGCGGGCTCCTGACTTGGTAACAATGAAATTACGTACTTAGCTCGCAGTTTTACTATACATTTACACATTACAGATAAAACTTGACTTCAATATCATGTACCCTGACAAGGAGGATTGTTTGTATTCGAAATGGGAAATGTTTACGGAAAAAATTCAACGATTTTATGAAACTAATCTACACAACGATTTCTGCAAACAGCTCTTTTCTCTTGCTAAAGCTTCAACGAACAAAGGTAAATACAAATCAAGTGTAACAAAAAACTCCAAAATCAATCGGCTTTCGTTAATTTCTTAAATTTTGTTTAAAGATACGCAAGACTACATTCTTACAACGCTGCTGAATGGAGTTCTTCCACCTTCATCAAGGTTTCAAAGTTCCTGCGGAAAGCTAAGAAAGAAAGCAACAATAGCAGACTCGCAACAAAGCTTTGTTTTACGATTAACTTCAATCAACGATTACGAAAGGAAAATTACTGAGTTGATAAGTATGTACTATTCTGCAGGAATGACAATACAGCCTTTTATAATTGTGGAAGGAGTAGCTGAGGGTGATATAACAGGATTTTATATATATTTTGATAAAACATTGTATAAATTTGAGTCGTTTCTAGAATGCCTAGATATCTGTTTCAAAATCTTTCACACTCTTTGCCTAAAATATCCTCAGGCATGCGAAACTTCATGGGTTTTTTTACAACAGTTTTTTTTTGAAATTTATACTGAATATGACTGCAAGTCGGCAAATTTAACGTCTCTTTTGAATTTTATGACATATAAATAATTGCTTTAAAATGTTTATTTGCTTCAAGTGCCACAAAAAATTTGCAGAAATTGATACCTTAATATGTCATTTTAAAGTAGATCATAAGCTTACTACGAAACTTTTACGACTGCAATGCAAGCAAGATAACTGTAATCAATTATTTACAAAATTTACTTCGTTCCGCAATCATTTACAAAATACTCATACAAAATTTGAAAACACATACGAACCAAACGTAACTCCAACTGAAGCTATAACGATACCGATTTTAAGTAATAATTTATGTACGGAAACAGAACCTCAAGATGTTGATAATTCATCAATGCAAAATATTGTTAATGAAACTAAAAATCTAAAGAAAAAGGCACTGTATTTATCTTTAAGTTTGTATGCTCAAAACAATTTGCCCAGGAAACAAGTAATCGATATTCAGACTATGGTATCTTCTTTGCTTTTGTCCGTATCCTTTACTATTCAGCATGTATTAAGCTCAGAGGCTATCAGTGATGTCAATGAAGACTTACAATTATTGCTAGAGTTTTGCAAGAACCCATTTCAGGAAATAAGTTCCGAATATAGGCTTTTTAAGATATTAAAGGAGCTTAATTTATATGAACATCCAAAGGCTATAATCATAAAAAAATCTGTTACTGAAACAACAAAACACGGGAACCCAACCTTAACTCCTAAATCTTTCGACATATATATTATGCCTTTAAATTTTCAGTTCAAAGCTATTTTTGAGATTCCATGCCTTCTGGAGAGCACATTACAGAACACAGAAAGATACTTGAAAGAAAGTAGTATACAGAACTTTGTTAGCGGCGAAACATTTAAATCACGAAAAGATAAAATTCGATCTGAGTTAGTTATACCATATATTCTTTATTTTGATGATTTCCAAATCAACAATGCGCTTGGCAGTCATACTTACTCGATATGTGGATGCTATTTTAGTTTTCCGTCAATGCCAAAACATCTGTTATCAAAACTAGAATACATTTTCCATGGAGCTTTCATTTCAACAAAAACAGTTAAATGCAGTGGTGTTGAGAACTCGTTTTATTACCTTGTAAAAGAGTTAAAGCTTCTTGAAGAAGGCATTGAAATTTTAACAAAAAATGGAAATAAAAAAGTTCATTTTATATTAGGTTTAGTAATAGGAGACAATTTAGCCGTTAATAGCATAATGGGGTTTGTTCAATCTTTTAATTCTAAGAGATACTGTCGTGTTTGCACTAGGACTAAAGACCAAATGAGAAACGATGTATCAGAAAAACAAGAAGCTTTGAGAGATGACGAAAGCTATTACAAAGACTTATTAGAAAATAATTATCAGGAAACCGGAATAAGGGAAGTTTGTGTTTTTGATAGCTTGAAATATTTCAATGTGACCGAAAATTTTTCATTTGATTTAATGCATGATGTTTTCGAAGGAGTTTGCATATATGATGTTTGTAATGTTTTGTTAAGCTTAATCAAAGATAAAGTCATAACACTCGATATTATAAACAGCAGAAAACAATTTTTCCAGTTTGGTGAAATAGAAATAGGCAATAAATCTCCCCCTTTAGAAGCCGGTAGATTAAAAACTTATAATCTAAAAATGTCTGCTTCTGAAGTAGCATGTTTCGTTCACTTTTTACCACTAATGATAGGAGACTTGATACCACGAGATAACGAACACTGGACTTTTTTTTTAATTCTGTCACAAATAATCGAATACTTATTAAAACCGCAGATTTCCACTGAGGAGCTAGTTTGTTTAGAAGAGCTGATTAAATCGCATCACTCTATTCATATTAGGCTTTTTGGGACATTAAAACCCAAACATCATTTCCTTGTGCACTACGCCACAGCTATTAAAAAATGCGGACCTCTTAAATACATTTGGAGCATGCGTTTTGAAGCGAAGTTCTTTATGCTAAAGTGTATTTTACAGCATAACATCGAGAATTAATCCTCCATATTCCTTAGCAATAAAGTCCAGCTTAAAATTTTCAAAATTTTTGTTAGATAACGAAAAATCATTTGAATCAATTATTAGATATAAAAATTACGAAATTTTAGATTTGACGAAAGAAGAATATTTTCCAAAAATAAGTACAAATCAACCCATTAATTTTAAAACTGTAATATTTTTAACCGAAGTACAGTATAAAGGCACTTATTATAAAAGCAATTATTATTTACGTTATAATAATCTTGAATTGTTTAAAATTAAATCGTTTTTGTATCAAAATAATAATGTTTATGTTATATGCTATCCGATAGGTGTTAAAAGCTTTGACCAACATTTTCATTCCTATGAAGTTGGCTTAAAAGTAGACGTATTGAATGTTATAAATATTTCTAAGTTTACAAGTCAACCGTTTCTTTTATATTCTATAAATAATGGAAAAACATACGCAAAACCAAAATCTCTGTAAATATTGTATTTATTATGTATTTAGTTTGTAACAAAATAATAGACACTCGGCTTTTTGGCAAGTTTTGACTATTCTGTTGTTTGACTAATATTCATTTATTTTTTTATAAAGGCTCATCCATAACAAAAACCATATAAATCCGAATTTAAACTTTGTACAAAAATTAGGAAAATTCAACAAAAACTCATTAAAATTTTCAACTTTTTAATAAGAGTTGCTAGAAAGACTTTTAGTATGCTAAATTTTAGTACAATAGAATTTAAGCATTCAGGCTTGCACATATTACATTAAAATTTAAAAGGCTATAAAAATGCATGCTAAAGATTTTTCTGAAACTCTTATTAAAAAGTTGCAAATTTTCCTGAATTTTGTAAAAAGTTTTAAATTTGGCCATTTAACTTTTGCTATATGATTAGCTACAACTTTATAAAAAATAAATGAATATTACTCACACAACAGAATAATCAAAAGTGGTCAAAATGTCGAGTGTCTATTATTTTGACATAAGGAGGGCCGTAAATCCACTTTTTTTAAGACTTTTAATGGTTAATAGCAAAAATCTGTGCGAAAGATGAAAGGTTGCGGTCAATATCTTGGGTCGCACAATAAGAACTCTACTAAAGCTGTTTTTCGGCCCACCCCATGTATATGACCGTTTTTATAGGATTATTTTAGATTTAAGTTTTTATTTCTCATAATAAGTGTGTGTACCTACAAAATGTAATGCAAATTTGTACCTTGACTAATAATTTTTGTATGGCTTAAAAAAGGTGAATAAATAAAGGGTGGTGAATATAAAAAAACTAAAATGTTTCATTATTAAAACGAATACACACAGTCTTAATTTAACAATATAGGTATTTGATTTGATGTGAATCATATTTGAATTAAATATGAATATTTTTAAATCAAGCACATTTGTTATTTGAATTAACAAAAATCAAGCTTAAATCAAAAATGAAAATTGTTATATTAAAAATGAAAGTTTTCGATTCAAAATTTTATAGCGTTTAAAATAACGATGAAAAATATTTAAATCAAATATGTTTTTGCTTGATTTTACAATGTTATAACGCACATTTTTAAAGTAAAATTTTTCATATTTACGTCACTTTTAAATACGTTTTTGCTTTGTTTAAGCACGTTTTCATTGATTTTACAATGTTTTTTCCCTGAGTGTATGTATTGGTTTAGTTTGTTTTCTTTTTATTGGAGGCTTTTGCGCCTTGCTACTGGATTTTTTTCTGTGGACTTTGTTTTCGGAGCGATTCTTTAAAAACTTTAAAGGGTTTTTGTGATTTCAAAAAGAAATAAATAAAATAAAAAATACACAGTGAACCACAAAATTCTGCGAACAAAGAATTTTTAACAATGTATTTCTAAAAAATCTGAATACAAACTTTACAAATTTTTATTTGATATTCCTGAGTTTGGGACAAAATTAAGAAATTTAACTTTTTTGTTTCTTATTGTAAATTTATAGAGCTATATTTTTATAATAAATTAGATGGTGCTGCAAAAAAAGGTCGTCTAAACTTTTTCTGTCACGTAGTAGAGATGGTAGAATAGGTCTAAAAAAAAGTAAGTGCGCCTAGGCCACACTGGAGAAGTGAAACTTACGTTACATATCTATTTTGTCTCATAACCAATATACATGCATACATCTGCTTTTGCTTAAGGCTATATTTTTTTTCTTTTTTTGTCTTTGTCCTACCTCTACCCATGTTCCTTCTAATTACATTTATGTATGTTATTCTGTTTTCCTCTATCATTGTTATCGTTATACTCTATCGATAACAAACTCGATAGTAACATCCAACAAAATATCGATAACAAAACCATTAAAAATATCGATGACAAAATCGATGACAAATTCGATAAAAATTTCGATAGCAAAATCGATAATAATACTGGTAGCAAAATCGATAAGACAATCGTTAAAAAATATCGATAACAAAATCGATAAATAATCGATAACAAAATGGGTAAATAATCGATAACAGTATCGATAACGAAATCGATAAAAATATCGATAACAAATCGATAAATATATAGTTAACAAAATCGATAAAAATATCGATAAAAATATCGATAACAAAAACGAAAAAAATATCGATTATTATATCGATAGGTTCCGAAGATTTCGATAGAAAAATCTATAACAATATCAATAAAAATTTCAATAACAAAATCGATGACAAGAGCGATAAAAATATCGATTATTATATCGATAAGTCCCGAGAATCCCGAAAATCCTTAAAATCCCAAAATAGTTCACAGATTGAGTCTCTGTGTATCCATCCATATACTTTTCTTTATAATTACCTTTATTTTAATCTTTCTTCCTCTATCTTCTTCTTTACTTTTATCGGTATCCTCATCCTCATCTTCTTCTTTGTATTTATCTTTGCTTTTACTTTTGTGTTTATACTTTTCTTCATCTACTTATCACCCCTTCACTTAAGTAAAAGGTTTAAATTTACCTTGATCTTCATTTTTGCCTTTATCTTTAAGGAATCTTTGTTTTTGTTTTTATTTTTGCCTTTGCCTTTATCCTTTTCTTTATCTATGTACGTACTCCCCTTTACTTTCATTCTTGTATTGGTCTTTTTCTAAGTGTTATTCTTTAACCTTTTATTAGCAAGTTTTTGTTAAATTCATACCGTGTGCATACACTCAACAAACACTAGTTTCAGCCCCAACCATTTCC